ATTTTTAAAATAATTTTATGATTCTCCTAACTAAATTTTAAATAAATATCATTCTAAAAGCCTTAAAACTATATAATAAAATTAGTCTTAATATTTTACTATTTTTGGATATTTGGTTTAGTCTTTTTAAATTTTGATTATGAATACTTCTAATCAATTTTAGTAATATTCATGTTAAATGTTATTCACTTTTAACATGATTTAGAAAATGAGATTAAATTATTAGTGCATTAAGAAAAAAAATTAATTTTAATTTTCAAGAATTATTTACATTATGCTAGAAATTTGAAGTTATTTTTTATTGTTTTTGGTGCCTCTAGTAATGTAACCAAAAAGAATTTTCAGAGTTTTTCAATTTTTACAAATGTAAAGGACTATAATAATTTGTTATAATTTTTACCTATTATTATGTTTTTACTGATTTGGATGTTAATGTATTTTATAGTTATACTTTCTATTTGATGTTAAAATATTTTTACATTATCTTATATATTTAATAATATTAAAAACTGATCAATCCAACCGAACTACACCGATCCGATTTAAATTGAATTGGTTTGGCTATCACATAATAATATATTGGATTGATTTAAAAATTTTATTAACCGATTAAATTGAATTAATTTAAAAAATAATAAAATTCAAACCAAATCACACCGCGAACACCCCTAACATGAATAATTCGATGACAACTCATCAGCATACCAATTTCTGAAAAGTGATTGCAGGGCCGTGTACTTAAAATTTTTTTAGATTTATAGATCTATGTCTCTAAAGAGTAGCATGAAAAATAATAACTATATGATTATTATAATTTTTTTAAATAATAAAATTAATTTTTATTTTAATTATAAATATTATGTATTAATTTTTTTTATTTTGAAATTAAAATTAATTTTTATTTTTTAATTTAAAACCTCACATCTTTAAAAAAAAAATTGCTAACTAATTATTGTTTTTTATTATGTGCCTTGTGTTTTTAAGATACAAGATAGACAAACTCAATTTTTTAAGATTTATTTAAAAGTTTAATTTTTAATTAATATTTTTAAAAATTAATTGTTTAAGTAAAAATTTTATTTATATAAATTATATATGTTAAGTTTTTAATTATTTTAACAAATTTAATTATTTCATTAATTATAAGAATTTTAACACAAATAAATATATGTTTAAAAATAAAGTTTTTTTATCAAACAATTATAAATATTAAATTAATATAAAAATTGACACCGTAAGATTTATATAAATACAATTTTTAATTCAATGGTTAATTTTTAAAATATTAATTAAAATGTGAGTTTGTAGACAAATTCTCTAAAAAATTTTTAATGGACAACCTACTTTACAAAAAAAACCACATATATATAAGTGTTACACGCTATATTTACACACAATTTTAATAATTCATATATTACCTTTTATAATTAAGATTTATTTATTTTTTATCATATTTATTAAAAA